CTGGTTGGTGGACAGGACAGGTGTTTCTGGGCAACCGTGGCCAGATCCTGCCACATCTGGCTGCAGCTTGCCCAGTAGGCCAAGGGGTCTCTGTCCAGTGGCTCCACATCCTCGGTGAGATAGGTAGCCACTGAAGCCTCGTCACTACCTGCCCAAGGCTGGGTTCTGTTGCGTTTGGACCCCAGCATTGAAGCCATGCCCTTGGCCCACATTGGCAGTGGCTGGTATGGAGGAGACTGGCTGGGGCTGGTGGCAGTACTGGGAGTGCTGGCATGGGAAAGTGGATCCCCCTCTTCCACATCCCCTCACCTCTGCCCTTCTGCCTCCCTAACTTTGTTGACCAGCACCTGCATCCAGTGATTGAGGGTTTTGGTTCTGCCAGTGCACGTGCTCCCCTTGATCCTCAGCTGCACATGCTCACCAGCATGTGGACAGTACTGGACTGCAAGGGATCCAGCCATCTCTTGATACTTTCCTTCAGCTGCTTCACCAATGCCTTCACGTCTGGTGACTGGCCTGCTCCAGCCAGGACCATTGATCCCCTGGAACATCTCCATTTGGTTCTCCAGTTCCCTCACTATGGGGATCACGTGGCTAAGAAGGGCATCGTCAGTGCTGAGGGTCTTGGTGGCCTTGAGGAAGGGCTTGAGGACCACCAAGATCTGGGAGATGGTACTGTACTCAGCTCTGTTAAGGGGGCCACTGATCCCAATCTCCCCAAGAAAGGCCATCTCATGGATGGCCTTCTGTTGCTCCACCAGCCTTTTGAGCATCAGGTATGTGGAGTTCCACTGAGTCTCCACATCCTGCATGATTTTGTGCTGCAGGATGCTCAGCTCTGCCTGTTTCTCCCGCAGCATGTTGCCCCCCTTGATGCTGCGGTGGAAGTAGCCCACCACCTTCCTGCATTTTGAAATCAGCTGGCTTGTAGTGGTAGTGGTGGCAGCGCCATCACTGGCAGCCCTGTCCCCCTCCAAGGCATCCCTGACTATGAGGTGCAGCTTGTGTGCCACACAGCAGATACCAACAAAGTTGGTATCATGGACAGCCTTGATCATATTGGCCTCATTGTCAGTGACCATAAACCCATGGGTGAGCTCCGTCTGCCCAACAAGCTACCCCTGTACCACGTGGTTCATGGCCACCATGATCTCCCTTGCCATGTGAGAGTCATCCAGCACCTTGGCTTGGAGGAGAGCCCACCAATGGCCTGACTGATTGCACCAGTGCCCTGTGAGGGAGAGGTAGGCCTGATTCGCACCCCTGCTGCTTCAGTTGTTGGCTTTGAAGTAAAAGGCTACTTGTGGCCCTGCCTTGCACAGCTCCTCCCTCAAGTACTCCCTGCATGTCTTAAACAGGGAGGGCACCACTGTCTTGCTAAAGGTAGTGCATGCGGATACTTAGTAAGATGGGGCCTTAAGCTCCATGAGCCGCCTGAACCCTAACCACTCAACTAGGGAGAAGGGCTGGCTATCCAAAACAAGTGTCTCCCCAGTGGTCTGGGTGATCTTGTTTGCCTTAGGAATGCACCCCCTCTGTCTGCAGCTTTCTCCCACTGTTCTAGGGTGGTCTGCCTCTGCCTTTGGGGGATGGGGACTTTGGAATGAGCGGGGGACTTCTTTTTAGGCACGCTTGCACTGGTGCCAGGCTGAGCAGGAAGAAGGGCAAAGGGGTGCTGCTTCCTGAGATGCAGCAGCATCACTCTGCTGGTGAAGTGTTTCACCTTCTTGCCCTGACTAATCTGCCTTCGACAGTACTGGCAGATAGCAAACCTGCGATCATCTGCCAGCTCAAAATGCCCACACTATGCTACTTGCCCGCTCCTGGGTTGAGGGTGGAGATCCTGCCTTATTCCCCTCCTCAGCAGGCTGAGGCACAACAGCAGGGGGAGCTGCCTGAGCCTCCACAACCTCAGTCTCCTCTGAGGTGCTGCTTTCCAGAGAAGGAGACCTGGGTCTAGGGGAACTTTGAGGGGTGTGGAGCACAAACTTTGATTTCCCCCTCAGTCCCCAGAATTGCTTGAGCCAGGGCACTCAGGTCCCTTGGTTCCAACTCCAGCTCCTCCTCTGGCAGCGGGAGGCTCGTGCTAGGAGATGAAATTGGGGTGGAGGAGACAGTGATTCTGCTGCTGGTGCTTATTTCTGGAGTTAGTGGGGGTAGTGCAGGTGCAGGGACATTAGGTACAGGTATTGCTCCCACCTCCTTGCTTCCACTGGCAGTATAAGCCTCATGGTTACTCAGGAAGAGGAAGTGTCTATGTATGGGGTGGGGAGCAGGGGGGAACTTGCAGCTCTAGCTCTTCCTCTAGCCCCTCTCCCTCCCCTGCCAGAAGACCTGGCACTTGCCTTTCCAGGTCGCTTCATATTAATCTTTCCTGTGCTGGAAAAGGTGTGTGTGACTTCTTCTCTGTGTTGCTTTACTCTCTGTGTTGTGTGTGTGTACTGGAGTCTGGTATGATGATTCTTGATTATGACTGATTATTAATAACTATATAAAATATGTGCTGTCTTCTGTGCTATGCTATTATACAAGTAATGAATGTGACTGTGTGACCTCTTCTCTGTGTATTGCTTTACATTCTGTGTTGTGTGTGTGTGTGTGTGTGTGTGTGTACTGGAGTCTGGTATGATGATTCTTGATTATAATTAATTATTAATAACTATATATGGTGTCTTCTTCTGTGATGTGCTATTAATGTGAATGTGTGACTACTTCTTGTCCTTCTTCTGTGTAGTGTACCTAAAATAATATATCTCCTACTTCTTCTAGGACTCTGACTTGTGTGTTGTGTGTGTTAATATCAATCTGAATCTCTGTCTGACTTCTTCTGTGTTGTCTTTAGTCTGTATGTAAACTAACTGTAATAATATTAATAACTAATAACTATAATATATAATCTGAATCTCTTCTTCTATAGATATCTGATTTTTCTTCTTCTGTGTGTGTGTGTGTGTGTGTGTGCGTGTGTGTGTGTGTGCGCGCGCAATATGTGCTTCCCTGCACAGTGATGGATCACACTGCCAGAGAAAACACTGAGCTTTTTCTTTCAGAAATATTGGGAAAAAACAAACAAATATAAATTGAAAGAAATGAATTGGAAGTAGACAGATGCTAAGCTAAGCTAAGCTATATCCTATCCAATCCTTTCTAACAGCAAAAAGTAGCAGGCCACTCACTAGGAAGCCAGGCCAGTAGTCATAGTACCTTTGAGATGCTTTTGCTCAGGCAGAAACAGCTCAGGAAAGGGACAGAAAAGCCTGCACACAGAGACTTTTATGCTGTTTCTGTGTCCCTCCCCTCAGACACGGTGATTGGAAGGACAGTCAGAGAAGGGTCACAGTCACTGGCTAGCTAAAGATGTCAGTCCTTCCCCCCCTGCTCCCCCTCCCCTCCCTCTTCTAAGTTTCTGTTTCCCCATAAAGGCCACCTTCCAAATCTCTTCCAGATCGATTGAAATGCTCCAAATTGATTTGGAAAGTTTTAAGCTTCTAGCGATTGGATTCAGATTCGGAGATTTGACCTCTGAATCGGGCTGAATCTTCTCCAAATAGAATCGCGAACCAAAGCTTCTCATAGTCTTTGTATTCATAGTCTTGAAAGTATGAGATGAATTAATCAGTATCATTTGTTTATGCAATTTTTATAGCACTCATTTTTACTCTGGTTCTTTTTTAAGATTTGTAAGACCCTTACATAGTACCTCCTAGGGCACACTTTTGTAGCTTGCTATTATTGAAACTGGAACAGCTATTTTACCTTGACCCCTTCTTTTGTTGTATATAAACAACATTTATGTCATGTTTTGGCAGCTAATCGATCCAATGGCCTACAAGAGTTCTTCAGTCTGGCATGCACGTTGGTCTTGGAAGGGAGAAGTTCTGCAGTTCTGGATGTTTACTTTCTACCATTTAATTTGGGAAAGCGTTATTGCACCATCATTCTGATCAATGAACTGGTAAGAGTAAAAAGTGAATTCTTTTGTCTTTTTTAATAACCTTGTCTGTAATCCAGACAACAGACAGGACTGCATTTGTAAAACTCGTCATCCAAGTGTGTGCATCAGTTTATGTAAAATAAATAAGTGCATGTATAAACTGGGTCCTATTTACGCAAAAACCCATTATGGATAAGTTATAAATTATATCAAATGATGTGCACTGAAATTTGGAAGTATATCTCATTTTAAGTTGTTATTTTTGTTCATAGTGTATTAATCTTTTATTTCTGAGAGCAGTGAGTTGGTCAGAGAATTGATCAAGGGAATATGATCCATTTTATATGCAGGCCACTCTGTGTCATTCCCCCCACTCCCCTCCCTGATCCCAGCTTTGCTCATCTCCCAGCTCCCCACAAGAATGGGAGCTGTCTCATCGAGCCTGTGGTTGCCTGGGGAAATCCCCATCCAGCTGGGGCTGGCTGGGAGTTGATCCAGAAGTGGAACAGGTTGTCAATGCATGAGAGAGCTGTAAAACGGAAGCTGTCTCCCAGCCCCATGCATATCAGGACTCCTCCCAGTGTGCATGGGGCCAGGAGACAGCTTCTGCTGCAGTCAGCAGATCTTTCTTGGCCCTGTGAGCATCAAGACTGGCCCTTGTGCATCCTGCTACCCTGGGCTGGCACCCTGGGGGGGGGCCTGGAGCTCCTCCTGGATGCTGCTGGGGGCCAGAGCAGGGAAGGAACAGTCTTGTACCAGGCTGCTCCCAACCATGAGCACATGTAGACATGCTCCCAGGAAGGCTTACTGCACAGTATTTTACTGCACAGTAAGCCTTTATAGCATTAATAGCATGTGTATATGCACCCTGTATGATGGAATTATTTTAGAATAAGTTCATTAGCTGGTGGCAGGTCAGTGTCTAGAAATGTACATGTGCTAATACCCTCCACTCATTGTATGATTGTAGTCATATATTAAGACATCATAAAAGGAGTGTTAAGGTAAGTTTTCTTCAGTTAAGTAACGTGTTTGATTTTTTTCCATTATGCTGCTTTATTGAGTCTTAATCAGCAACATGATTCAGAACCACTATATTTCCTTCATATCCAGTGCAGTAATAGCCATCAAATGTTATGGTGGCCATTCTTTGGAACAAGATTGTCAGTCACCTAATGTCAAGATTTGTAACAAGGGCTCAGGCAGGAGCCGTGTTACTAGGGTAGCCATGGGAGCAGATAGCTATAGAGAGCACATTGCACAGGTAAGGGGAATTACACACCAGGGGAAGGTCAGGGTAATTAGCCTGCCATGGCCAGTGTAAATCAGGCAGTGAATGAACGCACTTTGCCTTCGGGCACTGGAGGAAGGAGGAAGGACTACAGGAGAAAAAAGAGAGAAAGAGGGACACCCGATCAGCAACCCAGAAGTGTCCGGGACTGCAGACCCTGGCCAGTAAGAAGGCGGGGTACTCACTCGAGACCTGCAGCCGATACAGGGAATCCAGAGAAGAACCAGGGCTCTTGGTGATCGTTGCGCCGAGGAGAATTCTGAGGTAGAGGGCTCCCGGGCGGTGCACAGGCAGCAAAAGTGGCACGGAGCTACCTGTGCCACTGGGATGGCTAACAGTGGAGCCAGGTCTACTATTAGGCAGGAAGGGAGCAATGGAGGCAGCTCCCAGCTCAGGACTTGCAGAGCTGTGAGGAACTCACTCCACTAGTGACTTAATTAGTGGGGAAGACTCTGTCTGATCCAAAAATAGCCTAAGGTATCCAGGACACTGTCAGTCTTCTGGCGTTACCTTGTTAGCTACATTGGTTTATCTTGCTAATGAGGTAATTAGAGAGGTGAATGCAATTTTGTAACCTCCTGCTAAGAATAAAATCTGCACTGTGTGAATTAATCACCTGGGTGGTCCATGGTGTTTCCTCACCCCTAAGAATAACAACTTTCTTTCAATCAAAGTCGTGGCAGAAAAGTTCAGAGGGAGACTGAAATAGACCCAGCCACCCTCTCACAAAGATTAATAATGGTATCAGGACCCCAGTATCATGATACCTTCTGACTGCAAAGGCTGTCTCTTGCAACTTTTTTTCATATTGTACAGAACCCAATACAAGAAGTGAACTTGCTTCAGAATCAGTTTTTCCTTTCAGAGACAACAAAATCATAGGTATAGTTTAGATGTACTGTTTTTTTTAACAGGAAAAATACTTCTAGTCTAACCTATCTGCTTGCACAGTAGAAGTCATTTAAACTGGCAATGTAAGTTTAACTTTGTTGTAATAACACTCTTTAAAAATTAATAAAGGATTATTTTTAATACTCCTTTTATTATTTAGAAGAATGAATTGAGTCTGTGACATGTCCTTCAAATATTAATGTAGAATTTTTCACATGAGGAGCTGTAAGAAAATGTGTATTGCCTGCCACCAAAAATTAATGAAGGTGGCCTTAGTACTAGATCTTCATTTCTAGAGATTGGTTCACATGTCGACCCTTTACTTGACTGATAATCCTTACAAAGTTGTAGTTTTAACAGTGTAGATAGGACAATCTAGGCCTTATCACTGTAATATCTATTTTAAGAGTATCTTACAGCTAGAAAGCAACACAAAAAGTCTTGGAATGTTACCATCATCAGTGCCTCTGGAAAATCCTTCATATGAATTGGAAGGATGAAGAAAGAATACCAGCATTCTGGCTCAAGCAAAAACTTCCAGCACTGAAGCCATGATATGATACCAGCTCCATCTGACAGGACACATCATAAGTGTGCTTGACAACTGGCTCCTCAAACATGTTCTATAATCCCAACTCACCAGTGGTCACCACCCTAGAAAAAGGTAAAAGAAGAGATTCAAGGACTCCCTGAAGGCCAACCTGAAGAAATGCGATATTATATTAATATCTGGGAGACTTAAGCACTAAATCATCCCCAGTGGCACCATGAAGTATGACAAAGCATCAACCATTTTGAACAAACTCACCTCATTATGGAGGTGAATAGGTGAAAGAGACAATGGAGAGAGCTGTGATCCACCATCACCAGGATCCACTCCTTTCTTTTGGAACTGTATGCCATATCTGCAGTCAAACATACATATCTCCGATTGGCCTCTTCAGTTATCTCCAGACTCACTGATGACTTCCCTATCTACTGGTAGACTATCATCCTCATATCAAGGGGCTGCCAACAACAGCAACTAATATAATACTATTTAGTGATTATTTTAATGGAGATCTGCAAGCACCAGCAAATGGTATTTCTAGTAGGGTGTGAATGGAATTAGTTTTAATTGATGTAAACCATACCATTTGCTTTAATTTCATTATCTTTAAAATTCTTGCATGTATCCCCACTGTAAGTGATACTCTTACTTTTGAGTGTATAAGGGCAAAGCATCAAAAGAGCAGTGTTTATTGGAAATGCACACATGGGCCACACCCAGAGAAGCGCAGCTGTGCAGTACGTGGTGCTGTAGACACAGCTGTGGCACTACTTACTGCACATGCAGGTGTTCTCCTTGTTGCAAGGTAGCAGCATGGGGGGTGGGGTGGGGTGTGGATTTTTGACCGTGGGAGATCCTGGGGTAAAAAAAAACTTTCACAAAAAAAAAAAAGTGGGGCAGCGCACATGGAGACAGTGTGTGTTGCCCCAAACCGGAGCGTGGCTAGCCGGAGCCATGCTTCAGCTGCTAGCCAGGCTCCAAGCGGCAGGATTGCCACTGCTGCAGTCCAAAGAGGCCCCCAGGACCGCAAGTACGACTGCTGGGGCCAGCCCAGTGCTGGCTCTAGCCTCCCCTACCCCACCCGGGGCAACCTGCCATGTGCTAGAGGCTGTGTGGCACAGGCATTTTCCAGGGACAAGTAGCAGAGGCACATGGTGTGATACTTGTCCCCAGGTTACCAAACATCCATGCTCGTGTAGACATGGTCATGATACGTATGAAGGGTTTGGACAAGTGATTCTCAGCCAGGGTGCCATGAGTTCCTTTTAAGAGTGCTATACAATGTTGGCATGGTTAAGTGTGAAAACACCCATTCATGATTCACAAGATAAACCAGGAGATTTCTAATAGGATTCCATAGTGTCAAAAATATTCTGACCTGCTGTGTTTTTTCTAAGTTGTTTGCAACAGAATAATTGCTCTATTATTTTTCCAGTCAAGCAAGCAAAAGCTAGAAGCTGACATTTTCCAGGGGGTGCAATGACTCTAAAAAAAAAAAAAAAAAAAAAAAAA